ATACTAATAAAATAAATACAAATAAGAATAAAATAAAATAAAATAATAAGAAATTATGAAAGTGGAGGAAACCCATAATAACACCGTAAAGCATTTTTGGTTACTTTAATACTTGAATAACAAGTAAGATAGCTATTTCATTGAGTATCTCCTGGAATCATTGGTTGAATATATTTTCCATAAATCTCTTTTTGAATAGTACGAAGTTGTCCAATAAAATATTTATTATTTGCATTTTTAAAATATGCTACTATTTTTAATGCATAAGTTGATGTTGTTTTAAATTCTGGTGATACTTTAAAAATTTCACCTACACACAAATTAATTTGGTAAGCATAACAAGGAAGAAAAATAAGTTTTGATATTGGTTTTGAAGACGTAACCTACAATATAATTAAAAATTAATTATATAAATTAAAATAATAATAATTATACAAATTAAAATAATTTTAATTAACTGAAAAAAACAAATAAAATTAAGATTTTTATATATAAAAAATTTACCTTGCAACATTATATGCTGATGCACTATCAGTAACAATTGCTAAGATAATTAAATTCAATTCTTTAATATCTGTGATTATTTCTTCTGTTTTTGCAATAATATCATCAGTTTTGTGATGTTCACCACTTATATCTATTACTTTCCAAACATAAGATTGACCATCAGAAGATATAATAATTGTTTCCATTAATTCTTGCTTACGTACATTAATTCAACCATCAAAAGATAATGTAATTCCAATTCTATCTAATTTCAATTTCTCAATTATTGTATTATTAAAATCTGTAACAACTTCATGTAAAATTTTATCTGATAATGTTTTTCTATCAGATAATTTAATCAGTGAATTCAAAAACTTAAAAAGTTCAATAACTTCTAGATTATTAATTCAAGATAAAGCAAATCCACAAGAAATAGTAACATGTAATATTAATAGATTGAATTTTTTTCTATTAATACTAGATAGAGGTTATGTTATAAAGTTATCCAGAAGTCTATAATTTGAAAGTAACGAGGTTTGTGCTGAAGATGATGAAGCTTGTGATGAAAATGAAGTATTTCGTTGTATTTTTGCTAGTTGAATATTATTATCCAATGAATTATTGCTAATAAAAAAATCTAATTAATATAAAATATAAAATAATAAATTATTAAATTATAAATTTAAATAAAAAAATATTATCTGATCATTTATCTAAATTTGTTTTTTTCTTAGATGCAAGAGAAAATATTATTTCTTTTTCTTCTAGATTATATGCTTCATCGAAATTACAACAATTTCAGAAATGAAATAATATACGATTGGTTTTATCTACAATTGCTTTCAATTCTAGATTATTTTCATCATATTTATCATAACAGGCCCTGCAATAATATAATTTATTGCCTGATTCACATTTTTTGTTTGTTGTAATTATATATTTTTTTAAATTTTGTACCATTTTTTTTTTTTAAAAAAAAAATTTATTTTTATTGAGTAGTTAATTTCTTGGAATCAGTAGAATCATTACTATAATGGACGTACGGACATTAGGTAAGTATTTTTTTTTTATTTTTTTATCAAAAAAATAAATATATATAATAATGAACTTACCTCTTTCTTGCTTGCTTTCTCTCCTCTACTTTCTTGAGGTCGTGATCATGACTTTTGTGAGTTCTTCTTCCTTGGAATCAGTAGAATCGATACTGTAATAGATATACTGATATTGAAGTAAGTATTTTTTTTTATTTTTTTATTAAAAAAATAAATATATATATATAATAATTTACTCACCCTTTCCTTACTTGCTTTCTCTCCTCTACTTCCTTGGGATTGTGATCGTGGCTTTTGTGAGTTCTTCTTCCTTGGAATTGGTAGAATCGGTATTGTGATGGATGTACGGATGTTGAAATAAGTATTTTTTTTATTTTTTTTATTAAAAAAAAAAATATAAATATATATAATATAATTTACTCACCTTTTCTTTACTTGCCTTCTTCCTTGGGGTCATGATCATGACTTTTGAAGGTTATTCTTTCTTGGAATCAGTAGAATCATCATCGCGATAGATGTACGGATATTGAAATAAGTATTTTTTTATTAAAAAAAAAAAATATAATAAAATAATTCTTACGTTTTTCCTCGCTTGCTTTCTCTTCTCTGCTTCCTTGAGGTTGTGGTCATTGACTTTTGTGGGTTCTTCTTTCTTGGAATCGGTAGAATGTTACTATGACAGATGTACAGAGTAAATTTTTTTTTTTCAAATTAAAAAAATCAAGTGATTAATTTTCGTACTATGTACTAAATGTACTAACTGTACTAAAAGTAATTAGTACATCTGAATTTCACATAAAGGTGTACTAGTACTATTTGTACTAAGTACACTAATACATTAGTACAAATTTAGTACTTGTACTAAAATTTTGCTAGTACAGTATACTTCCCCAATCCTGAATATGATATTTTAATTTGATTTGTTTGAAACTCGATTAGTGAAAAATTATAATATAATATTTTAATAGTAATAGTAAATTGTTTATTTATTAATAGATGACTAATAAATTGTCATGTAATACAGAACTGATCTTGTTTATTTATTAATAGATGACTAATAAATTGTCATATAATACAGAACTGATCTTGTTTTGTTTATTTATTTTGTTTATTTATTTGAAATATTTTTTCACGCTTTATCTTAGTTAACAATTTTCTTCAAACATTTTCAAAGTTTGTGCATATTTAAAATATACTTTATTTAAAAAAGAAAGAAAAAAATAACCTTTAATTTTAATAATAATTTCTTAGTCCTTAAAAGTTATCACTTAAAAAAATTAATTCAGAACTTATTCAAAAATAAATATATGTTTGTTTCCATTTATATTCTTTCAAATATTTTCGAAAACTTATTTATTTCATTAAATTTATTCATAATCATAATTTCTTATTTACTTCATTTATAGTAAAATAAAAAAAAAGATAATCTTTAATATTCTGAATGTATTCGAAAAATAAGTATATATTTGCTTTTATTTATATTCTTTCAAATATTTTTAAAAAAAGTTTATTTCTTTAAATTTATTTATAATTATAATTTCTTATTTACTTTATTTATAGTAAAATAAAGAAAAGGATAATTTTTAATATTTCAAATATTTTTGAAAAATAAGTACATATTTGCTTCTATTTATTTTCTTTCAAATATAATTTAATTCTAATTGTAATTTTCTTATTTACTTTATTTATTTAAAATTTTTTAAAAGTTTACAGATAAGAACATAAGTAATATTTTTCATTATACTCATACTCTTGAATATTTTGCATACTTATATAATATTTTAAAAATAATTTTTAATTTATTAAATAAAATACAGGAATATTATACTTATTATTCAAAAGTAATATAGAATATAATTATATTTATATAGAAAATAATGATTATTTTTTGTAATATTTTAAAAATTTTTATAAATATTTAATAAAATAAATAAATATTAAATTTTAAATTTAAATATAAAATATATGCATATATATGAAATTGTATTTATATAATATATGTTATCTAAAGTTGTATATATAAATTTAAATATATTTGAAAAATGTATAAAAATGTATCTGGATAAATTTGAATGGATATATGCAAATATATTTGAAAAATATATCTGAATAAATTTAAATTACACATATATATACAAATATATTTGAAAAATATATTCAAATAAATTCAAATATATAAATATATGTGAATATATGTGAATATATTTGAAAAAATATATTCAGATAAATTCGAATACATAAATATATGTGAATATATTTAAAAAATGTACTGATAAATTCGAATAAACAAATATATGTGAATATATTTACATATTTATTCAGATAAATTTGAATAATTAATGTGAATAAATGCGTGGGTGATCAAATATATCTAGATATATTCAGTTCAAATATATTTAGATATATTTGTCCTCAAAAATTTTCTGATGTTGTCACTGGTGGTTTCCAGTTTTCTCAAGAACCACTTAAGTAGGGTGACTTAATGGTTCTTTTAAGGAGTTTATAGTCCTTTTCTAAAGGTAAGACTGTTGTTTCATCATTTTAGAAGGCACTACTAATTCGATTATTTTAGAAAGGGAATCAGACCTTTTATTTAATTTATTCTTCATCCATTATCCTCTTCCATTCGTAAACTAAAGCAACTGTTTACGAGTTGCTAGTTGTAAATTGCCTTTTGGAAAATAAAAT